GCTGTTAATTCTCCAATTTGTGCTTTCTCCATTTTTTGTAATGTGGGCACTTAGTGCTATGAACTTTCCTCTTAGCACTGCTTTCATTGTGTCCCATAGATTTGAGTAAAGAAACAGCAGTATAGCAAAAGACTTCTAGGGCGAAAGCTCTTAGGGCTTTCCTTATCTGGGATTCAACAATCAGAGCTTTGCTTACCTCACTCAGAGGGGTGCACCCACACACTGAGACAATGGGGATGTTCTATAGGTAACTCACCAAGCCAGCTGGCCTGGGTCTGAAAAAGCATGGGATAAAACTGGACTTGCTGAACATAGCAGACAATGAGGACTACTGAGAACTCAAGAACAATGGCACTTGGTTTTGATCCTACTGCACAAACTGGCTTTGTGGGAGCCTAGGCAATTTGGATGCTCACCTTACTAGACCTGGATGGAGGTGGGTGGTCCTTGGACTTCCCACAGGGCAGGGAACCCTGATTGCCCTTCGGGCTTATGAGGGGGGAGGAGTTTACTGGGGGAGGGGGAGGGAAATGGGAGGCGGTGGCAGGGAGGAGGCAGAAATCTTTAATAATTAATTAATTAATTAATTAATTAATTAAAAACAATCAGAGCTTTGCTTGTGGGTGAACCAACATCCTGAACCTCTACTGTTACCTGGTGCTCCTCTGACATCGCTACAAGCAAAATGTCACACTGAATACTCTAAATACTGGTTTGATTTTTCTTAGTAAAAATTTGCAGAAAAGTGAAGAATATCAGACAAACCTCACCTTCGTTCTTTGTAATCAATACTTTTCTCCCCCACAGTGGCATATGGATCATGGTTTGAACATACTTGTGCCTGGATGTCAATGAGAAAAATGGACAACTTTTTGCTACTGAGCTATGAAGACATGAAAAAAGTAACTAGCATTCTTAAAGTAGCCACACAATCTCCAGCAACCAACCCAGTGCAACACCCCACATTCCTCAATTTCCTCACTCCACCTACTCTGTCAGTGTCAGGCTCATGAGATACAGAGGATTCTGCATGGTGTAACAGAATAAACTGGAGATTTCAAAATATTATTAGAAAATATCTTAAATGTTTCAAAGTTAAGTAATGACATACATCTAAATAGGTTGATATGCCATTACCTTATTTGATAATTGCAGGTTTTATTTGATTGAAATGCACAACTAAATATTATATACATGTTTAATTACTATGTGTGTCTCTCAAATAGCTCTTATTTTAGAAACTAAAAAATGTTCCTGGAAGGGTGTCACATAATTGTAAACCTAGTACTGGGAAACAGAGACAGATTCAGGGATCATCTTTGGATGTTGGGTTTGAGGTTAACCTAGGTTATAAGAGACAATGTTTCTAAAGACCATTGATAGAAATATTTTTAAGTTATAGGTGAAAGGTAATTGTTTATGTATTACAGATAAAGATAACAATTGTACTTTTACTGAGCAAGAAAAATTTACACTGATCACAATCTCTATGGGAGAAAACATTTGACCACCCTTAATAAGTTCAAAAACTTACCTAAGGTGAAGAAGAAGCAGTCTTACAGCCAATTTTTACCTATAGAAATAGACTCTGGTGATGATGAAGGTTACTAATAGTTCTAGCTTCTTTGGTTTTTATTTATTTTTTTTTCCTTATTTTTATTATTCAAATCAATTTTTAAAATTTAATCATATTTTGATCATACTTTTTCCCTTTCACAATTCCTTCCAAATATTCTCTACCTCTTTACCCACCTACCCATAAGATCCTTCTCAAAAAACAAACAAAAACCAATGAAACAAAATCTCCCCTCACAAAATAAAGCAATACCTTACAAGAAAAAATATAAAACCATAGAACTATAACTACATGCACCCATACACATACACACAAACTGTGGAGTCTATTATCTCTTCATCATCTACTCCTGAATATGAAGACTTCCCTGAAGTGGTTGATATATACAGTGTTACTGCATTGTGGAAAATTGATTTTTCCTTTCCCAGCAAATATAAATGACAGTACAGATGTTGAAATAAGAGCGGCGGCAGGGCTGCGTCCCCAGCACCCCAGCCGCCTGCTAGCTTATGCCCGAAATAACAACACACAAACTGTATTCGTTTAAAGACTGCTTGGCCCATTTCTATCTAGCCTCTTCTAGGCTAATTCTCACA